GAGGGGAAGCTTTGGGATGGGGGGGGGAGGGGGGCTGTGGGGTGAGGCTATAGAACCTTGGTGTGGGAAGGAGTGGGGAGGGCTCACTAGGGCACCCTGTCCCACTGCCCAGGCTGTGGGGACACCAGGCAGGCATGGTCGGCTACGACCCTGAGACCAAGTGCGTCTCCACGGTGGAAGCGGCTGCAGCAGGATCAGCATCTGGCTTGGTCACTCGGGTCCTTGTCAGCCCCTTGGATGTCATCAAGATCCGCTTTCAGGTACATTCCTCATGGCATGCCTGGGGACAGGGGGGTGAAAGAGCCTGTTACAGAGCAGAGCTGATCTTGGCCTGGATGAACAGGTCACTTGTGCAACCAGAGCACATTAAATCTGCTCGTCAGCCCTCACCTACATTGTATACAGGTTATGCAAGGTAGTAGGGCTATCTTGTGTCCACCACTTCTGTTTATGTAACTTAACTTGTGTGTTTGAAGGGGATATTGTGTTTTTCATAGCTTGTTCTCTTTCTCTGTTTTCCCAAATGATCTCTGCTATCTAACTGAATTTCACCATCGTCCCTACTGATTCCCTTTGTGTTGCATGCATGTTTTTATTCTTTTAGAGCCCTACATAAACTATATCGTAGTCAGTTCTAGATGTGATTCAGTGGGAAGGCAGAATGTCATCTCTTAGCATTGGTTGGCTGTGAGGGTTGTGAATTCCTGAATTGGACACTTGAACCTATTTTCCTCCAGCTTCAGATCGAGCAGCTCTCCTCCAGAAACCCAGGGGCTAAGTATCATGGCATCTTGCAAGCTGTACAGTGCATCTTCCAGGAAGAGGGGTTGGTAGCCTTCTGGAAGGGCCATGTTCCTGCTCAGTTCCTTTCAGTTGGCTACGGAGCTGTTCAGGTGAGGTGACCAGACATCAACCAGGCCCAGTGTACATACATAGGACTCTGCTTTGCTTCTCTTCAGGCTGGCTGCATGGGCAGATGCAGAAAGGTCCAGGTTTAAACCATACTGATGCAAGCCAGCTCCAGTCTCAAAGATGTGTAGTTGTATAACGCTGATGTATAATTCCTAAGTTAATCTTCCTGAGCTTGCTGAACTTGCCTGGCCAGCCTGGAGTACAGCTAGAGCAAACTGAGTTCTGTCTGTACCTGGTGTCATAGACAAGTCCTGTTTGTTCCTGACACTTGGCTTAGGTGCTCATGTTCCAAGCCTGTGTAGTTTTTTGCTTTGGTTCACGCTGCCGCCCTAACAGCTTGTTAGTAAAAAAAAATCAGTGAAGCTGATGATGGCGTTTTACACAGCATTGTTATGCTTAATTTGTAAATATTAACAACATGTTTTATGAGCAGTGGTTGAAAGAATAATGGGCAGCGTATCTGTAATATAGCAAATACTCTTCAGGATACATAGAGCATTAAAATTAGTTTTTCACAATTCTAAATGCAAGATTTAGCAGCAGTGTCAGAGATCAGATTATCCCAAGCATTCCCCGGGCTGCTCAGTGATTTTTACAAGGTATTCTTTGAACACATGCTCCAACAGGTTGCAAGTTGGGGAGGACTTTTCAAGGACAGAGAGAGAAAGTGGTTACAAGCAGTGGGTGGAGTTCTTTTGGTGAAATGAGGGAGGGGTGGGAGATCCGTGTCAGTGATAAGGATTGACTCCTTGACCTGTGTATGTTTGTTTCTGTAAGTTCATGGCGTTTGAAAGCTTGACAAAACTGGTGCACAACGTCACCTCATACAATGCCCGCGATTCCTTTGTGCACTTCGTCTGCGGTGGACTGACTGCTTGTACAGCCACTGTTGCAGTTCAACCTGTTGACACACTACGCACCCGCTTTGCTGCTCAGGGTGAGCCTAAGGTATGGTTGAGGATTAATGCTTGGAATTATCATCCATAGCAGTAGCAATATTTCATGTGTATGAATACAGGAGGTTTGAAAAGTACATAACAGTCTGTGGGTTAGCGTAAAGGAACAGGTGCTGTTATTGGGCAATGTTTGCACTGTTGCCAAGTTATCCTCTGTGCTGTTGACACAGCTTGCTTAATTATGTTTTGCTGCTCCTGATTGTGTTTGACTCCTGACAGGTGATCCAGAAAGGAGAAACTGTCCTTAACAGGATAACTCAATTTTCATTTCAGCTGTTGGCCATTTATAGAATATACTCCCCAGTCTGTTGAACATTGCGTGTTTGAAACTTTTCACTTGCACAGAGTCATGTTTAGATAATGATGGGGATGATACTTGAAACCAGTCACCTTTCACTTGTGTTTCATGTTCTTATTTGTGCAAGAACTGGTCTCCGTGCTAATTAGGTCTGTAATACCTAGACTCATATGGGTTTGTATCAGAGCCATTTCTGGTTTTTTACTTATATTGTGATTCTACTGCAGGCTATATTATATGAATTCTGTTGCAGGAGCAAGCAGAGCTGTTACGAGAAAAATAATCATGTCTATGATGCGAGTGGTCTCAGGCCACAGCTCTCAGCTCTGTGCCTTGTTTCTTCCCATCAGAAGCACAGCTTGGATGTGGGATACAATGTCAGCCCAGGCCTTTCAGTGCAGAGCTAACGGTCGTTCGTTCAGTTAGTCTCTTGTGGCTCAGAGGTAGGTTTAGGTTGTCAGCTTACTTAGAAGAGTCACAAGGGCTTAGCTGAGAATACAGTGTGAAGATGCGCAAAATCACTTTGTTCATTGCTTTGTGCTGAAAATCAGTCTATTGTATTTTGGGCAGCGGGAAATTCCTATCCTCATTACTGGATTACTGGGAAATAACCTGACCTTTGGTTTGCTGTGTTTAAGCCTGTTTCACTAGAGAGTCAGCCTCTTCTTTATTGTCTAGGTCTATCGCAACCTTCGCCATGCAGTGGTGACTATGTACCAGACAGAAGGGCCTCGGACTTTCTATAGAGGTTTGACCCCCACAATCATTGCTATCTTTCCGTATGCTGGTCTCCAGTTCTCCTCCTACAACATCCTGCAACAGTTTTCTGAATGGGTGATTCCAGCTGAAGGAAAGAAGGGAGGTAGGCACTTGGGAGAGTGATGTCTGCAATCTGGAGAGAAAGAGAGGATGAATGCTAGTTTGGGAGACTGACATAAGCTCAGTTTTCTGTCCTATCACCCTTTTTGATGCAACATCTGAAAAGTACCTCACTTTCTCATCTCTCATTGTTAGCTCTGCACAGATATTGTGAAAGTAGAATCATAGGATGGTTTGGTTTGGAAGGTACCTTAAAGATCATCTGGTTCCAACCCCCTTGCCATGGGCAGGGACCCCTTCCACTAGACCAGGTTGCTCAAAGCCCCATCCAACCTGACCTTGAACACTTCCAGGGATTGGGCATCCACAACTTCTCTGGGCAACCTGTGCCAGTGCCTCACCACCCTCATAGTGAAGAATTTCTTCCTTATATCTAATCTAAATCTACCCTCTTCCAATTTAAAGCCACTACCCCTTGTCCTATCACTACACGCCCTTGTAAAAAGTCCCTCTCCAGCTTTCTTGTAGGCCCCTTTCAGGTACTGGAAGGCTGCTATAAGGTCTCCCCGGAGCCTTCTTTTCTCCAGGCTGAACAATCCCAACTCTCTCAGCCTGTCTTCATAGGAGAGGTGCTCCAGCCCTCTGATCATCTTCGTGGCCCTCTTCT